ATTCTATACTTATTTTTTGTCACGCCGCGTTGTTTTGCGATATTTTAAACTCTACGTATTTTCCATCAGATATTTTTGTATTTTTTCCGCGCTACAGAAAGTGTAACGCGCGCGCACGCACACTTCTCCTAATTTACATAACATCCCGTTTTACATAACGCGATCGCTAAATGTGGAACTGCCCCGAATTGAGATATCGCTTTACCAAATTCCGTCAGTTCTAACAATATCCTAAACAAGATTCACCATATCGGAATTTCCGAAATAGCCCTTTCCGGTTTCAGTTACATTATTGAATCTCCACGATACCGCGCAAAACGAATCGACGAGATATATAGTGCTCATAAGACTTTATAATATTTCGCAATCGAACGTCAGATGGTTCAGCGCAGCCGTGTACACAGATTTAATTTTTTCCACGACTGTATATATTTTATATATATTAGGACAATAATTATACGAGACATTATTACAAGAATATATCGTCGCGCATTGAATTGGCAAAACAAAATGTTCGAAATATAAATTACCATTAATTTCCCGAAGGATTCGATTCCACGCTAGAATTATTTGCGGAGTGCTTCATTTGCGTGCTCATATCGCGCAAAAATGGCGACAACGCGCGGCAGCGGCGGCGGCGGCGGCGGCGGCGTCCGCCGCGTAAAAAATATCAATATCAATTTCAATTGCGGCGAAACTCGATCATCTTTGCCGAAGGAATACTTGTGCATTTCGGTTGCCGGGCCGCCGCGAACCTCCACATCCATTTCGCGGGTATGGAAAAAGCGATGGGTACATAGGTTATTGACCCCTCGTTTTCCATCGGGGGCTTTATCGGGCGTCCTCCATCGCACTACCGGGCGATTCAAATCGACGTGGCCGGATTTACGAGTCGCGGCCTGTGCACACCCGAAGCGTTAAAAGCGAGCCCGAGGACATTTTTCGTTAAATCCGCGCGAAAACAATTCTGGCATGGCGCGAAAATATTTTTTCGTCATCACAAACCGCCGCGCGTTTTGTCCACGCGCGCGAATGTGTGTGTGTGTGTGCGTGTTTGTTTCCTATAGCAGAAGACTTTCCTACATCACAGGTGCGGTGACAAATTGAAACTCTTTTAGTGCTCCACTAAACACGATTGAAACATATTATGATTGTATCGAAAAAATCTTGGAATCGCACAAGAGCGAGAAATGACACCGTGTTTTACGAGACCGCGTGTATCTCGCCGGATTAAGAGATTAGCTTTTAGCATTTTCTATATTTGCGCGTTTTTTAAAGAGATATATGTAAAAAAATACGCGCGAACGCGATGCACCGGGGGGGGAGGAGAAGGGAGGGGAGACGGAACTTGGCGCGTTACCAATGACTTCGCTGTCCTTCTTTCTTGCGCTCATCTCTGCCACCTCTCTCCGCGCCGCTTTTCCTCCTCTTTCTCTCTTGCTCTCTCTCTCTTATTTTTCCGCACAAATGCAGTCGGGATGATTCTCTTCCAATTATGCTTAAGGATTAATCCGCTTTTCGACGTTAGCCGGTTGTTGGCGATTAAACGCGCCAATGGGACGCGATGGAGGGTGGCGCCATGCAAGAGATGCGAGTGTGACGGCCGACGGTTGCACAAACAACAAGATGGCCGCCGGCGGGGGCTCCTCCGGCGCCCCTCGTTCTGCCAGGGGGGAGAGTGCGCCGCGACGCCAGCCTGGCCCGCGGACGAAAGGGTTGTTTTGCGAAAGGAGAGAACGCGCGCGCGTACCTTGTCAATTCTTTCCGAATGTCTGGCCGTTTGAAATATTGGCCAGACCACATTGCAAAGCCAACCACTCCTCCTCCTCCTCCTCCTCCTCCTCTTACCCCCTACCCCCGTTCCCCTATTGTCTCTCGCATCATATCTTTGGCGACTCCTCGCGAGAATTCCACGCGGATTGTTAAAAACAATGAATATCCACCGCATGTGATTATCTTTGAAACAATTGCTAGACACTTTGAAACGTATGTCACCGCGTCGCCATCGTTTTCTTTTTTTTTTTTGTTACCGCGTGTGTCTAATTTAAATGTCTAAGACAATAAATCGTTATGTGAATATTATGCAAAACAGCGACACCCCGATGAAACTACATTTCTCTTGTACTTGAAGTGTCTCGTAGTCTTTTTACTTGCTACCGAGTGCTAATATAATTGGGAACATTCTATGCTTGGTCATGCGGCCGGTGAGAAGATTTGCCCAATTAGTAGACATCAATGTCAGAGATAAGACACGTCGCGCCTCTTTCCCTTCCCCTCTCCCTCTTTCTGTATTGTGACGAGAAGATGAGAATTACAAATAATACTTAATTGTCCCCGCGTGAATGAAAGAGCGACGACGTTGCATAACAGATTTATGCACGATCTTTCGCTTTATCATCGACGAAGATGATATAAAACGTCTCGCGATCAAACTTCGCGAATCTGACGCGAAAGAAACGAAGATCATTGAAAACGAACGGCGTCGGGAAGAGCTTAAACGACGCGAAATCAACGCGGGAAAACAAAATCTGCTTGTTCCATTATTTGCGCGTTAATTTGTTTTTTTTTCTTTTTCTCTCCTTTTGCGAGAAGCGAAATTCTTTTTAGCTCGCGGAGTAATCAGCAAATCGCCTAGCGACGCTGGCAAACGATCGCGAGACGAAGAGAGTAAAGAGAGATAGTCTAGGGAAGACGTCAAATAACTCGATTACCTGTCGGAGGAGTGTCACTTTGTCGGGCCCCGTGCATCCAAGTGCGAGCAAAATTTCGTTAAGGTGCTTCTTCCGTAACCACCTCCGCCTCCGTCGCTTATCCGCCATTTTTCCCGCGATTTTTTTGTTTGTTTCTTTTGCGAAACACACGACGCGTTTTTTGCGATAATGTCGCGGCAAAGCGAAGCGCGCGCCCGAACGAACGGAGAAACATTTCGAAAAACGTGACGCGTAAACCGCAAAGTACGATATGTCGAAAACTCGTGTTACTTACTCGCGGAACACTGCACACACACTCCGATTTTCACAAAATTGACAACTTCAGACTGTCATTATGACAACCACGAACTCTCATTTGTCACTAGATGAGGCGAATCAGTTTTTTATTTGAAACTAATATGTTATACCGTTTGCAACTTATTATTTCTGCGCACGCGCCTTAACGGACGAGTGACAGGTGCGTAATTTCTGTGGACAGACATAGAGAGCGGTCTATAGCATAATTATAGTTTTAGAAGTTTCTGTGTGATTATAGCGAAATATATAAATTGACACAAGAGCTTCTCTTTCATGATACTGATCCATTATGACATTGTATTGTATTATATAACAAAATTTTAAAAAATAAACTTTTCACTTCTTATTGCACACACAAATTTAAATCAGATATTAAATCATTACTTTAATCAGAAGGCCGGAAAAAGCGCATTATGCAATTGTGGATTTATATTGAAATAATTTAAATAAAAAAAAAAAAAAAAAAAAAAAAAATTAACAACTGAAAAATTATATTGAAAAAATTTAAATGTACGTTCACTCAAATATTGATAATAAAAATGAAAGAAAAAAAAAACAAAAAGAGCGGCTCGGATATCAATGCGATTTCGACGTTAACCAATTCTCGAGTGTAATTTGATGAAATCAAACAATGCATTACCTTGGAAAGCTTTTCTTATTTTCGAGGATAAGGCCTCGAGACTTGATCGAACAATTGGGTTAAGTAAGTCAGATAGCCACCGGTTTCTGCCCCGACGTATAGTTAAGTATAGCACTAACCATACATTCCTGCGAGTTACTCGATTTCAAGAGCCGGCGGAAAACTCATTAATATCAAGCACACAATTGTCTCGGATGAGAAATTTCTTTCGCGGGAAAATGTTATTTTTCGCCCTCGCCGAACTTTTTATCGCATTAACTTCAGCTGATGTACATTAACAACAAATAATAGATCGCAATTTAATATTCCACGCTTTTGCAGTGTTATTGAAAAATTTTGCAGATATTTTAAATCGCCCGTTTATTTATTTATACAGTGTCAGCTCTTGAACCCTGAAACGAGATATTCGCAAAACGTCGGGACAAACATTGACACACTAACGCGATTTACAGATTCCAAAAATTATTTTCAGAAGCAAATCATAATTCTAACGCGACACGGGGAACTAAAATGATAATACCCGAATCAGACCGAATTCACAAACTTCAATATCTTCTTGTTTTCAGCGGAAAATAGCAACTTGCAAACAACAGACGCGCGCGCGCGCACCACTTATTAGTGTGTCAAGTATATTCCGCGCCGGGTTTCGCATTTTATCGAACAAAATATACAAATCGGAACGCCGAGGCAGAAATAGGATTTCTCTAGCTATACGCGTCCTAGATGCATCTAGGAAAAATATTGCGCCGGCTTATCAGGTTTCGCGAGCAGGTTCCAAGTTCGGCCCCGCGATGTTTCGTGCTCTGCGGTTTCGTTTGCGATTTTTCGAAGCGTCCGCGAAAACTCCGGACGAGAGCTACGAGTTCTACTCCAATCAGATATCGCGGTTTCTCTTTCTTTCTTTTCCCTCTTTTCCTCTCATCCTCGAGCTTGGCATCAACGGCCAATCGCATTTACGGGATTGCCGCTCGCCCGTTTTTGGCATAAAAGGCTCGCGCTTATTTCACGAGTAGCGCGAACAAGCTAAAACGAAGGCACTCCGATCTAAAGTTCGTCTCTTAAAGGCCTTCATTGGATAAGCGAAATATCGAAATATTAAAAAGCAAAAGATGTTTCTCTCATAAAAACTCGATGCACACATTTTTAATCTCTCTTCCTCTCTTTGTATATAAAATTATAATATACATATTATGAAATTGATTCGACGCTTAAGTTATCGATAAGATTACGGAATGTAGAAACATGGTGAACATAATATTTTTACTGAAAATATTGCTTCGCGACGATTTTATCAAAAAATAAAAACAAGATCATTGCAATAGCTCTTTTCTTAAATTTATATAATTTTACATACCACCACTTTTTATTGTACACAACGCGCGCACACATACACACATATAGTATAAAAAAGCTACAACTGTCTCTATCTTTTGTAGAATTGTGAAAACTGTAAAACAATTAATTGCTCAACATGCAGTCAACAATACAAATTCCTGTTTTCAAATTGTTTTCAAATATTATTATCTATCATTAATACAACTGATCAGAAGTTGATAGCACAAATTCCTACGTTTAAATATTAGCGATGCAATTACTGCAATATCATATAAGCAACTGATCAGAAGTCGATAACGCAAATTTCTCACTTTGAATACAGATTTTTTTTTCATTTTTACGATACGCACCATGCGATGTTTATTAGTAAATTCGACGTAATAACTTCGAAATAATAATAAATATATATGTGTATGTGTGGTATATATATAAGTCAATATTAAAATAATAACAAAAGTAGTTCGAGATTCGGTTATTCATTTATATTCCAATTCGTTTATACGAGATTTTTCCAATTTTTTTTTTCTATGAACTCTATACTAACTTGCTAGCTCGTTACCGTTTGTTTTTATTTTTTATTCAATGCACGCGTTAAATACAATCACCTTTTACTTTTATTATACATAATTACTATTGATGTACAAGTCTAGGTAAAAAATATGACATACGAGTTAGAGGAGAGTGATTCACGTAAACATCACTTTCCCCTACTGTATTTAAATACTCGCGTAACAATAACAATAAATTTATTTTGTGATATAAATTATATATAGTACACACGTGATCTTGTACTAGGTGAATGTTCATTCCGGCCGCGTGTCTATATGCATTTAATGTGATTTTTTTTTTTCAAATATTTTTATTTTCATATAATAATTTTAAATAATTTTATAAATAATAAAATAGTATTTTAATGAAAAAAAATTTTATACAAGTAAATAGCATATAGAACTTATGTGTACGCTTGATTATAGAAATTTATCTAGAGTCAATGAAATCATTAAAACATGACTTTTGACATTTCTGTTACAAGATCTCTGTTGCGTAAGTAGCAAAACCTGCGGCACACACGATGCGTTTTCTCGTGTTAAATCACACGCGAACGTCGCGACGACTTAACAGTCCAACTTTGCTAAATTGCTTTTGCTAATCGATTAGTCGATTATAACGCTCAAACACGAAAAAAGAACCGTGTGCTTTTAGGCTCAAGATTGCTTCTGCACAACAAGACGCATGATCAAATAACGCAAAATTGCAGTTATCACTGTTTGCTTAATAAACATAGTCAATTTAAAATAGTATTAATTAATTAAAAACTTTAGTATTTCTTCCCTGCAAACACTGTCCCCACTTGGCTACTTAACTTGTAATAGAAAGTCTGAAATTCAGTAAATCTTGCTAGTTTATATTTTACATTGGTGTCGAACATCAGCATACGGTTAGTAGGAGTGTCTCTCGTACAATTAATAAGGAGGTGGTTGATGTTGATAGGAATGTTGCGGTGGTTGACTTAGATGTCTTTGCAGGTGTGTCACGAGTTGAGGAGTTGGTTGTTGGCCGCTGGTGTTCTGCTGCTGCTGTTGCTGTTGAGCGGCCTGCTGTTGTTGCTGCTGCGCTTGTTGCTGTTGTTGCTGCATAGCCAGCATTTGTTGTCTCATGCGTTGCTGATTTATCGCCTGTTGCTGCATGTGTAAAAATAAATCAAATAACAAGTTAGTAGCAAAGAAAACTAATAATAACCTAACCTAACAGCGATAATCAATTTATTTTTTTCCACTTTCTTGTGAGTTAGATCTCTCTATTAAAAATTTTTCTACTTAAGCTTAATTATTTGGAGATTATGGTTTGTGCATACATAGTCAAATGCATCAATTTGTTCTGTGTGGTGTGCATGTTCTGTGTTATGGATATGTTGTTGATTTGTAAACAACGGATGGTTTGTAAACGCGTGAATGTTTTGTAAACGTGAGTTTTCGTGTGCACATAATAAGTGATGTAATATAAAATGATCCGAGTGCATGTGTGTAAGTGTAGGAATGTATGTGTTTCTTCTTTTATCTATGTGTCCTTCTTTTAATTTCTAAAAAAAATAAATAATAAAAATAACTAACAATATCAAATAATTGTTTCCCCACAAATTATTTCAAAGATATCCCGCTGCTTCACTTAATCAAAAACATACTTGGAACTGCTGATTTTGCTGCAAGCTGACGTTGGTTGTCCCGACTCCTGTCACTCCTACCGCACCTGGTTTCCCAGCGGATTGCCGATAAGGAGGAGCGGGTTGATTTTGAACACCTCCACCCATTGGTCCCATTGTGTTCATTGTTACATTTGGCGCCTGAATATATAATGATTTCTTCTTTGACGCGTTTATATTAAATCTTATATGACATATACGTACGCTCATTTTGACATACTAATAATACACACTTGTAAATATGGCGGCCTCGCAGCGCCAGGTTGCATTCTCTGTTGTGGCATGTACTCCTGTCCCCTTTGCGGTCCCATCATTTGTTGCTGATTGGGGAACATCATGTTTTGCTGTTGATTCAAGATGCCTTGCTGCTGCTGCTGTTGTAGCAACTGCTGTTGCTGTTGTTGCGTTTGCTGTGACGTCTGTTGTTGCTGCTGTTGCTGCTGCTGCTGTTGCATCATCTGCTGTCCTCCGTATCCCGCGTAATTTTGATTCATGCCTGCCAGTAGAAATTTAACTCCAGTACAACTCAAATAAGATTTAACTTTTGATTAATAAAAATACTCAATTTGTACCTTGTTGAATTCCTGCGTATATTCCTTGTTGTTGTTGTTGCTGCTGCTGTTGTTGCGCCGCGAACATGCCTTGTTGCGGATTTATACCGGGTGCTCCGTGCTGCGCTCTCAGCTGTTGCCTAATAAACTGTGTCCTCTGCATACCTTGGAACGCGCCCGGACCGGCAACCGGTGTCGCGTTTGGCGGTTGTTGTTGCGAGCTCATGAATTGAGTGGACGGTAATCGCAATCGCAGCATATTAGACAGAGCTTGCTTGGATTGATTATTCATTCCGGGTCTTTCGTAGCGTGGTCCAACTGGCGCAGGCGGCAACTGTTGACCATATCCGTACTGCTGCGCCGGCGTATGTGCCTGCTGATTGCTGTACCATTGTTGTTGCGGCTGCGGCGGTTGACCAGTAAACATACCGGGCTGTTGCGCAACAGGAGCTTGTTGATTACTAAATGCCATTTGTTGTAACTGGGCTGGTGGTTGCTGTTAATTATAAAATAAAAGATTGCATGTATGAGCAAAGAGATATATGTTTGTTTTGTCATAGCATATCATTGGATGATTAAACTTACCTGCATCTGTTGCGACATAGGTGTAGTAGGTGTAGCAGGTCCTTTAGTCCGTCTATTATGTCGCTTGGTTTTCATGGCTTTTCCTTTGCCATTAGTGCCGGCATTATTGATTCCAGCGCTATTGACGCCACCACCAACTCGTCCCGGCGAATCGATACTCATTGGCGTATCCGCTTTACCAGGTTCTGATTCCTTTTTATCCGGTTCTAGATCCTCCGGCGGCAACGGTGGTGGATCCAGATAATGGCTAGCTGGACGAATTTGACTGTGCGTGTGATATCGCAGCAATTTATGCGCATTTTGATATGTAAGAGGTTTACGTTCCATTCTAACGGCTCTGAACCAAGCCCACGAAAGCGGCGCAGGATTTTTATGACCTTCCAAGAGTTCCCACGCCGATACTTTTTGAGAATCGCATACTTGCAGCCCCTTATAATTAAATAAATAATATTATAGAAAGATTAATATTTTGTATCTTGTACAAAATACTTCTGTTGAGAAAAAAATATCAATTCAATGTACCTGCTTCTTATCGATGCTATCAAATCCAGCGATCTTGTTGCCTTTGGTATCCGTTAAACATCCAACTGGTTCGCAAGTAATAACTTCCATGCTCAACTTTGGTAACGGTAGAAGTTGTCTGACATAGCGAATACTCGGAGAATTTCTGTCGCCAAGCTCTTTCTTCAATTTTTTCATCAAATTCTGGTAATGCTTTTTATTCTCATCTTTCTCAGACTGCGAATCTGACACTAGAGTAGAGTGAATTAATGTTGCCAACATATCTATTACCGTCGTGAAAAGTTCGGAGTTGTTATTTAAATCTATAACGCCATAGCTGACTAATTGAACCAATAGAATCGCCCAGTCTGTCGTAGCAGTCGTATTTCTCTGTATCGTGTCGAATACACCTCCGACGAGGCTGAATCTCAACTGCAGCGCATCCTGCAATACTTCTCTAGTTTTAGGATCCTCAGAGCCAATGTGTTTCTCTTCTTTACTAGTATTTAAAAACTGTGAGAGCTGAGAATGTAATGATGTCAATAACCCCTCTCTCTGGTCATCTTGACCTTTCAAACACGTAAGCACGAGCGAGAGAAATGGTTGGTGATTGAATAACGAGGGCGATTTGGATCTACCTCTTTCGCGACCTGCTGTTTTCGACCAGTTACCCGATTCCAGCACCTGTCCAGCCACTTTGAGAACTCTGCCTTGTACCGCACTCGGTAATTTCGAAACCAATGGAGCAACTAACCATATAGAACCCGATCTTTTGTCAGGTTTGCTACTTAAGGTATTGTTCAATTGGAAAACGTCAATTGCGGCTTTCGCAACTGTGTCCAACCATTGAGAAAGTTCACTGGATCCTGGCGTGAATTGTTTGTACATAAGCTGCAAATCTAGCCAAGACATTCTTAGGCTCCATTGCTCTAAATTCTCTAAGATATTAGTAATATGAGTTTTCTGATCAATAAAGGCTTCAGTAGGAGTGTCAGGATAACAGATCATGTGCAACAGTTTTTGGGCTTGTCGTGGCGTCAGCATGTTGTCCAATAGCATGTCCTGGTGACATAGTTCGTCTGGATTCTGTAGGCATCTCTCCAGTACCCACTCCTGACTGCAAATCTGACGCAAAACATGATGGGCAAAGTCGGAAAATCCTTTAACGTTTTCCGTAGTCAAGCCAGCACTGCTGCTTGACGAAGACATGGCCAAATCGAGTCCGAGGTCGTCGCCTCCTCCCAAAATATCGCTCGTTCCCAAAATATGGCTGATTGACAATTCGCCAGGTCCGCTGCTACTAACACCAACTCCAACTCCGACGCTAGCCGGACCGCCTCCTTTACTAGCATGACTCAAGGGCATATCGACTTTCTTGGGCGGCTGCTTAGCGGCTGTGGCGTCTCCGACTACTAATATAGCTTTAAGCACCGCCAGTACTGGTCCTACTCTTATATTATTGTGCGCAGCTGCCAACAGGTGTCTATCACAGCTCAACTTTATATTATATCCCCTCGAATTTCCGCTCGGAAGTGGATGAGGACTAGTACTGACCGAGTATAAAGCCGGTTGTGGACATTCGACGGTTTTAAAAAGTCTCAATAGCAAATGGCAAGTTAAACGCGCACCGGCTTCCGCTTCGATATCGATGTCTCCGCGGCCGTCATTGCAAGTTTTCACCAGGGACGGTAACGCTATGTGCACGACGAAATCTTCCAAAGAGAAACAATGTCTCGCTGCAACACAAACAATTGAGTTGTTACTTAGCGGAGTTACTTAGCAGATATATATCTTGTCTAATAAAATATTATAGCAGATATATATCTTGTCTAATAAAATATCTCTATCGTCAGAACTTACCGATTAAAATTGATGTGAATATAGCAAGAGAATTGTGTATACTAAGATCTTGTACGTCAACCTGATTCAACACATCGATGTAAAAAGCGGAACTGTTCGAAGAACAGCAGAGTGCCATAAGTACGCCCAACCATTCGGCATTAAGAGCGTTGCAACAGGCGGTTAGTTCAGCGCAAGTTATAGCAATGTCGTTCAGTTTATCGTTATCCGTTTCGCTGCAGACTGCGACGATCGCGTTGCAGACAAAACTATACCGATTAGCCGGTGTTTCGTTCAACTGTCTCGCCCATTGAGGCTCGATCTTTCCGCCTCTTCGCAGGCTAGTGAAGACATCCACCATAAACTGCGAATTGTACACGTGACTCGAAGGCGTTGGTTGCAATGTGCTGTAAAGAGCGGTTCGTATCTTTGGATAAGCGTTACTGAACGCCTCCACTCCGTGTGATTTCGTTTTCAGAAGAGAACACGTCGAATACAAGTCGTACAGGTGCGCCAACACGCATCGTTCGGCGGAACTGCAGTCGCTGGGATTTGAGACGTGCTTCACCACTTTGCACAGTAAATCGAACACCGCTGTAGTCTGCTCGGGTGACACTGCAATAATTTATGTAAAATAAAAATATATACGTTATTTTTAATCTTTTATTTATATCGTAGAGAAATAGCGAGTTTAACATTACTTACGTAACAAACAACAGTGGTATCTTCTCAATACACCGACCACATACAAACTGAGATTCGTAGTGTAACTTCGAACCAATTGACTGTTTCTAGCCGTCAATTGTGCCTCTACTTCCGGCAGCTCTTTCAGAATTTGTATACAAACGTCGATTAGGCCGTATATGTTTAACGCGAGCTCCATTAAATCGAAAAGAAAAGCTACGTGCTCATGAACCGGTAAATAAGAAGAACCAGCCAATGCGAATGTGTTGAGCATTTCTATTACTTGCGTTGCGCACTGCCATGTGACAACATGTTGATCGAAGTAACTTAGATTTTGAAATTTCATCGTAACAGCCTCGAAGTTGAATTCACTTCGAGAATGTTTCTTCACCTTGCCACCCTCTGCAACATCAATACTGAATTTCTTACCGAACAATTTACACACTTCTTTCGTCATTTTTTTAACAAGATGTCGAGCGTCGTCTCGGACGCGTCCGACACCGTATAGCAACACATGTCGCTGATTGCAATCATGCTGACTGCACGTCTCGTCCTAGAAGAACATTTATCAACGGGTCACATAAAACATAAAATTATACATATACAAATATATATACGTATGAAAAATAATAAAATCTTACTTGTGGCAGTGGAAAATGGGTGGTATACAACAAATGTCTGCTGTGACTTGATGGCATTTTCGAATCGAGACTTTCATGACCCCCGTGACCGGTCAAAGCGTCTTCTTTTGGACTATCTGGTGCATCCATGCTATTTTGTTGATCTTCTTTAATGTGCTGTAATATCTTGTCCAGGTCGTCATCGATTTTACTGTCGTCATAATCCATAGTACGTCCGTGATCCGAAACTTCCAATTTGGCCGGCTTTAAATCTATACCCGGGAATAGACTGTCCTCGTCGATCGGTTCCCTGTTGCTTGGTGTTCCAGGTTTGCTAGCTACTGGACCTAATTAGACAACAGAATAATGTTACAATCTCGTTTGCATTGTTTAATTAACACTTATACAAAACAATTGTTATTATTCTTATTGTTGCAAAAAATATATAATATATATGACATATTAAATATATTATAAGAGAAATCACCTTGTATAAGATCACCTCTCGAAATCAGAGTACACATATACGCGTCGTGCGAGAAGACGTCATGCCTTATTAATTCCGAGAACAGGTGAACTAGATTCGTAAACTGAGCCTTAGATTGAGCCGAGGTGCTGTCCAATATCGGAGCGTCCACGTCCAAGAATTTCATGAGTAACGGTTGAAAAATCGGAAGAATAGGCGGATTTCCATTGCTGCACGTACTGTCCTTATCGTCGTTGTCGTTGGTCTCACCCAGAGCTTCGCTTTGTCGTTTTTCAAGAAGCTTGGCAACCGCCATCGCTCGATGCTCTCCCCAACGTTCGGCGCTCACGGCCCACTCGCACAAAATTTCAACCACCGCCGAATCTTGTTGCGGATTGTATTCCGTTTTCGTGTCACGTTCGTTCGAGTTGTTATCTTTCGGGGGTGGTGTAAATATTTTTGCGTACAACGTGTCAAGTGAATTCGATGCGTCCATTCGGTCGAAACTGTGCCGATCAAGAGCGTCCAAAGCTGCTAAAACCTTGTTAGTCGTTGTACCTGCGCTGCTCTGTTGCCACTTGTCGCACGACCATCTGCCCTCCGCCGCTTGTGATCGAGCTCGTATATTTTCTTGCGCAATCTTAAGCTGTTTCATCGTAGGATTGGCCGAGCTCGCGGGTGGACACGGCAAAGCTGCCGGAGGACATGGCAAATAATCTAAAGGTGATCCATTTAAAACCGACGGTGCCTTTCCCTCACCAACGCTGTTCCATACCAACGCTGTAGGACATTCCAAAGTTATGACCTGAAAATCAACAAATTCAAATTTCTCGAGCATCGCAAAAATGAAACCATAACGAAAGGATATTGTTCATACCTGGATTATGGTAGATAAACTGTAAATTACGTCTCTGTGATGGGCGCAAGTCAGATAGTCATTGAAAGCAACCGTCAAAGGATTCAATGGTACTTGAGTAGTAACAGTGTCCTTGTTGCTGTTGCTCTCGGTTTTATTAACTGATGGACTTTGAGGATTGTTGTTGCTCTCAACATTGTTGCACATGTGTGCCAATTTACGACAGCATAAATACGCCAATTTTCTGGCTAACAGTTCGGATTGTATAAACTCTTCTAAATATTGCAGAGCCAATGGCAATAGAAGTTTCAATATCCCATCTTCCGAAGTGGAAGATCTGGTCTTATCTAGTAATTCCAGAATCCACTGTAACAACTCTTGTCTATCCAGCAAACCTTCTTCAAACATGTATTTTACTAATTGTACACAATAGTGCCATTGTTTAAGCGCTAATTTATGTTCTTCGTTCATTGTATTGCCTGTTGTTTGTTGATTACTCGATGTAGGTGTAGGTGGTTGAGTAATAACAGTGCCATTACTATTGTTTGCATTGTTGCCACTGTTGTTATTGTTGTTGGTATTGTTGTTGCTGCTGTTATTAGTAGTGGTATTATTATTAGTAGGAGTACTACTATTATTATTAACATTATTATTGTTACTGTTATTAGTGGTGCTGTTGTTATTTGTTGCAACAGCTCCATTGCTGTTGCAGGAATTGTTTGTTGTATTATTATTACTGTTGCTAGGATTAGTCACATGATTGTCCATATGATAGTACTCTTGCAGCTTGGACAATTGATCTTTCAGAAATTTTATGAGAGTGCCAGTCCATTCTGTAAATAATACAAAAGAAAACAATTAAGATTAATGTTTAAAACAATACTAAATTCACAGATTTCTTCGATATGATATAAAATCATATAAAATTGTTTAACATAAAAGAGATTTAATTGTTTAATGTAAAAGAGATTTTTTCACTCACCAGTAGTCGGATCTGGCAGCTGGCGCTTTTTGATCTTAGCTTCTGAGACCGCAACCGTATAAGCCGAACTAAGCTTGATATACCAGGCTGCTCTCAGCATTGGTACTTGGTATTCACAAAGCATCATAAATAATTCCTCTTTTTTATTAAAGTTTGGAGCTTTCTTTGCGAGAGTAACCAATGGTTTGCTACTTGAGAGATCTTTAAACCATGTTTCGATGCTGTTCTTCGACCTGGCGGTCACTGGCCAAAAGTTATCTTTGGGATTAATCTGCTGTCTCTTTCTACCGGTATCAGGCATCGTTGCGAGCTCCTCTTTCTTAGCGAGAATCGCGTTAAAGAACGCGCCGACCTTGGCAGCGGTGACATTGGAGCTTCTGGCCGTTCCGAATTCATCCGCCAGCTGTGGTATGGTGGTGAAGCCGTGCTTGACGTTCGTTAGCGACAGCTCGTCCTCCTTTTGCTTTGGTTCTTGAGGATACACATCCGGAGGACCCAGTCTTGGCCTTTTCAACGGCCTCTTCTCGTACAATATTCCCATCATGTTACAACGTGAAAATATATATCGCGTATCAACAATTAAAAATACACGGTAGAAACTACTACGGTTAAACGGTGCGTATTTACATATGTCTGTGTATCATTTTGCTTGTAATGAGACACTATTGTTATACGGTCACCGTTTCACCCAGATAGAATATATTGTTGAAGTACACTCGTCCATTGCAAAAGGAGTCTTTAGTGGAGCTCGTCGCCGTTTCGTAGTTCTCGAAAACGAACGCTTTACGTAATTGCACTGTCCATTCTTCTCCTTTTTTAAGCAAAGTATGATCTCTCGTACAGCTTATTCCGATTTCAATTCTCTTCTCTTGTTTCACAATCGGTGCTTATCAACCGCAGAAAGACGTTTACTGACATTTACAGATGTTTTAAAGTATAAACTAACAGAGAACGCGCGCGCGCGTGTGTGTGCGTGTTATGTATGCTTTTGTCAGCTAGGAGTGTGTGTGTGTGTTTCAAAATCTCTTAGAGCTCTCGGTGTTGCCAAAATAACGTTAGAAAAAGTCACGAGACTCGGACCAATCGTGTCAAATCGAATCGACCAATCGTGGGGTGCGACTCGTGTGAACGATGTTTAAATCCGAGTACGGAGCTTTTCGGGACCCCAGGAACTCACTGGCGTTTCGACGTGCCGATTTGCTGCCGGGTTTCGCAGCTTGCGAACGAGCGCGAGATTTAAAATAGAGACGTGCGATTCATTAGGTCATTGGTCAACCACTGTCACCAGACACTCGGCTTGTACTGGTGTGTATTCTATGACGTGTCATGGTAGCCCCTCGCGATGTGATTCGCGTTTGCTGTATATTCGGCGACGTTTTTTCTCGCGCAGAAATAAAAATCCTCACGCGATAAAGGAACAAGACCGCGGCTTATGTGGTGTATAATGCGATTGAATGCTTTCGCTTAGACAAGTGGTCTCACGTGAGAAGCGTGAACGGAACGGTGGACACGTCGAGTAGGATCGGAGCGATAACGACGACGATAGGAACAATGACAGCGATCACGGTTTTCTACACGTTGTGCGTTATTTACGGCGCCACGGCCTTCTACTTACCTGGTCTGGCACCCGTGAATTACTGTAAGGCCGGGGAAGCTACGTTAACCTGTAAGGTATGCGTGTAAAAAAGCTAGTCAAGGTGATCGTGATGCGTGTCTACGTGTGTACTTCGTCGCAATTTCTTTAGTGCACATTATGCGTGTGCGCTCATATATTTTTTATCTATACAGATATACAAATATAAATATGTATTGCGATAATGTATTATTAATAAGCCTATTAAATGTGGCCTTCATTGATCGAAACTGTTTATTCTCGTTCTTTTTCAGCCTGAAATCAAGCTGTATGTGAATCGTCTGAATACAGAAAAAAATGTAATACCATATGAATATAGTCAGTAAGTGTTGTAATAATTGTTATACTTGTATATATTTAAACGCTTAGTTGCTGTGACAATTGTTTAATGCTTGTGAACATCTTCAATCTAGTTTCGACTTCTGTACGGCAGAAGATGAAGCGTCTCCGGTTGAGAATTTGGGACAAGTTGTTTTCGGAGAACGCATACGACCATCGCCGTACAAGGTAAATTTAACAATAGAATCTAAAATCAAAGATTTACAAATGTTTACGTATGTAGGAAGATAAAAAGATGTGAACATGTAAGAGAACTTATGTTTCTTCTTTTCAAGTTGGACTTCTTAAAAGATGTTAAGTGTGCTCCAGCTTGCAAGCCAAAAATATACACAGGTGATGAAAGTTCAGAGGAGAAGTTGGAATTGTTGAGAAACGCGATAGAAGCAAATTATCAACATCATTGGATTGTTGGTAGAGTATCAGAAAGTTTTATCCAAATTGATAAATCTCTGTATAAAGTGAAATAAGAAATGTGTGTTAAGAATATTTGCATTCAAGTTAGTTGAAGATTTATATTTTATTTTTAACAGATAACATGCCGGTAACTTGGTGTTATCAGCTGGAAGATGAACGACAGTATTGTAGCACAGGTTTTCCAATGGGTTGCTACTCCAAAGAATCTAGATCGCAACAAGACACCTGCACTATACATGTTAGTTTAAAAGATAGATTAATGTTAAAATCGTAAGAGTATAAAATGTAATTTATATTTAATTTTTTTTTCTTACATCTGTTAGGGTCCGTACAACAAACCAAGGACTTACTATCTATTCAATCATGTGAACCTTACTATAACATATCATAGTGGCGGTTCAGAAGAATGGGGATCATCCTTTAAGGAAAACGGTGGTCGTATTATATGTGAGTATTCTCGCATATCCGATCCAAGCCGATTTGTTTAGTCACTTGTATCTAATATCTATTGCACTTGCTTATTTCTGATAGCTGTGAAAGTAGTGCCTCGCAGTATTAAACATACCGGTACGGTTGATTGCGAGAGTCAAATACCATTAGAGTTACCATCTTCCAAACTTCACAATGGAGATACGTTCCAAGTGCAGTATACATATTCTGTTAAATTTGTGGTAAGTCTTCAAGGAGACGTTCTAGATAATAAACACAAAAAAAAAAAGATATTTTAACATGCTATGGAAAATTGAGAGTTATTGTAATTTCACACATGTATGTATTTCAAATATTTCAGAAAAACAATACCATTAAATGGTCGTCCAGATGGGATTATATCTTAGAATCGATGCCACATACAAATATCCAGTGGTTTAGTATTCTTAACTCGTTAATAATCGTTCTGTTTCTTTCTGGTATGGTGGCTATGATAATGCTTCGCACACTGCACAAAGATATCGCTCGATATAATCAGGTACTTATATTCAGTATACTTACAATTAAGTTATATAACCGAACACGATTGCGATACACTCTTTTCTGCATTCTGCATGCACATTTCTTTTGTACGCTTGTTATACGAAATAATTTAACCGATTCTCTCAGAAGCATGTGATTTTATTTTCGCATAAATTTCATATTACTCAATAAATTGTACTCTTAAAAAGCGAAACACAGTGTAACATATTTCACAAAAAAAAAGGTGAAGGTGACCAGTCGTTTTCTTCACTTTTACAAGATTGTGATATCTGTTTGTCTGTGTTGCGATAACGCAGGCCTACTTCCAGATAGAATCAGGAGAGGATGCGCAGGAGGAATTCGGATGGAAGTTGGTTCACGGCGACGTGTTCCGTCCACCGCGTAAAGGAATGTTGCTTTCGGTTTTGCTCGGATCCGGTGTTCAAGTATTCTGCATGACATTGGTCACTCTAGGTAAGTTATCAGACACGAACACTTTAACATTTAAACTTTCTGGGTTATCATTTTTCCTGTGTGCGCATCCGGAGTGATAAGTTACAGATGTTACAATTAATACTGTAATTATTTTAAGCATTCGCTTGTCTCGGTTTTCTCTCGCCTGCTAATAGAGGCGCGCTAATGACTTGCGCAATGGTAATGTATGTTTGTCTGGGAGCGAACGCGGGATACGCCGCCGCTCGGGTATACAAGAGCTTCGGCGGAGAGAAATGGAAGTCTAACGTGCTCCTCACAGCCATGCTTAGTCCCGGGTATGTAAAATTCGTGTTACTTCCGTAGATGAAGTCTGTCGACTCTGCTACTTCCAAAAATATCATTATTTTGAGTTCCATTTGTGTTTTCTTTGCGTGTCAAAAATGTCTGAGAAGAACAATTGCAATTTTGTTTTTGTTTTTAGAATTGTGTTCGGTTTATTCTTCATAATGAACTTGATATTCTGGGTGAATGGAAGCTCGGCCGCTGTACCTTTTAGCACTTTGATCGCGCTCCTAGCGTTGTGGTTTGGCGTGTCCGTGCCGTTGACATTTTTCGGCGCGTATTTAGGCTTCAAAAGAAGAGTGAGTACAATTAATCAGTATCAATTTGTCGTGTCGCGTTTACAAACCAATCGAAAAATTAAATTAACCGGAAACGAAACGCCGTAGGCTCTGGAGCATCCGGTGCGGACGAATCAGATTCCTCGACAGATACCAGAACAGAGTTTTTATACACAGCCAATACCCGGCGTTATTATGGGTGGTGTCTTACCGTTTGGCTGCATATTTATACAATTATTTTTTATACTTAATTCTCTATGGTAAGTGTATATTATTACACGCATATTTTTATCTTTTCAACAAACATTTTGTAAAAAAAAAATTATTTTTTCTGTCAGGTCGAGCCAAGTATATTATATGTTCGGATTTTTGTTTCTGGTATTTGTTATACTCGTCATCACGTGTTCCGAGACGACAATTCTACTTTGTTATTTTCATCTCTGTGCGGAGGTAAAATTTATACACACACATTTCAAGAAGCTGTTAAATTCATGTTAGAAAACAATAATGTTAATGTATTCGTGACATTCTTTATAGGATTACCATTGGTGGTGGCGTAGCTTTCTCACATCCGGATTTACTGCTGTCTATTTGTTAATTTATTGTATACACTTTTTCATCACCAAATTAGACATTGAAGGCGCCACTTCTACGTTCCTGTATTTCGGATACACATTCATTATGGTTTACTTATTCTTCCTTTTGACAGGTGAGTATTATTCATTCATTTAGTTGTAAACGCGCAAGTTACGATACTCGAATGACGAACAAAATTTATCATTTCCTTTCAGGTTCTATTGGTTTCTTTGCCTGTTTTTGGTTTGTGCGCAACATTTACAGTGTTGTGAAAGTTGATTAAAATAAGTCTTATAATGTGGCGAGAACAATGCCTGCGCATGAGTGTGACAAGTGAAATTGATCGCGACGAGAATGAGCGATAGTCGATATCATAAAGAAACTTGCGTGCATTAAGAAAAAAAAAAAACTATTTAATGATAAGATGAACGAATAATAATGCACTTTTCGCATTATTGTCGCGACAAATATCTCTCTCATCGAGTCGCAATAGCATAAAATAACTTATTGACGCGACACAGTTTCATATAGAGAGTGAACATCTATTTGAACGTCGGTATCATTATCGGCTATCCTGCATTCTCCAGAATCTATTTTCTGAAGAAAAAAAAAAAGTATCTAACGATACGCTCCTCGAAGATGTACGTTTTTAGATGTTTGCAAGAAGTACGTGTGTACTGTACGAGCATTTTATTCAGTTTTTCGTTTGCAGAATACTTATTATTGGAAATACCTTGCAAAAAAAAAAACCTTTATACGACGCACAGCCACGGCAAAGAGATTTTCAAAGTATAATAAGTGTAATAAGTTAATATCGCAACATTTTTGGATTCTGGCTTTGAAATACTCAGTATTAATTATTTCTACATTTCTCGAAGAGATTTTTAACAAAGGATTGAAACTTTTTTAGTTCCGTAATAATAATAATATATACATATTTTGATAATTTGTATTGCAAGGAACGTGCGTGTGTCGTATTTAGAAAAAGAAAAGACAGATAATCAAGTTATATAAATTTGAAAAGAGAACAAATTACAAAGCTTCTATACATATATAAATATATAAGATACACAAATAAAGAAAAATGTACAAATTGATAAACTAAATTAACCAATGAATCTTGTGTCTCCTGTTTTTTTTGTTTCTTTCAAGCTTTTTCTTTTTCTCACAGTCTAAAAATATAGTATTCGTAATCGTGACGTATGTAATAGTCAATATGCACATTCTATACTCAGATTTTGTAAACTAAAATACTTACAATGTTAGTATGTTGATAATGTTATTATGGAAATACAAATAAAATTCTCCAGTAAGTTTACGTATGCATTTGGGATAAACTTTTTTTTCAAACACGTTGCGTTGCGAGTCACGCTTTTTTTTCACTTTATGTAAAACGCGTTTAATTTTAAATTTTATTACCGTGATAGAAGCAAATTAAGATAACAATGCAGGATGTTAGTTTCAAACATAAATGTATTTGCTTATTCCATGTTGTTGATCTCTCATCTACAGGTAAATATAATTTTTCATTGTAAAAAGCAAGTATGTGATAAATGTACTTCTTTATATCTAGTATATGCTGCGTGTAATAATCTTTCAGATTTATTAAGAATTTTACATGTCATAATACACCGTGGAATTAACGGTTATATTTACACGTCTTCTCCGTGCTCCTAGTTTTTCTTTCTGTCACACTGATAAAAATCACTAACGACAAAACGTTTCCAGGTGTGATCGCTATTTTAAAGTTAAATTGCTCGTAGTTGTCGAATTCCGAGTGATCGAAGAAGTGTGAATATGGAGAGAAGTTCAATGCGGCAACAAAGTACTTTTTCTTCTTCGCCGATGATAGGGTAGAGAAAACGATGCTCTTCTATGTTTTCGAACGACTTCACACTGTACTTAGAGTCGAGTCGTATACATTCTAAATGTACTTTTGCCACTTCAGTCCATATGAAAAGAAAACAACAACGGTGAAAGAACAAATTGTGTAACACATTCGACAATGTGTATGTCGTCTAATTTCTTCAAAGAGGATCCTCCCACGTCGTAAAGCATTGGATGTAGAATGCCGCAATCATCGTCTGTATCTTTCTCTCTCTCTCTCTCTCTCTCTCCTCTCTTTTTCTCTTTCTTTCTCACATGTGGTTTCAATACGACGTAAGGATGCGAATAAGTATCGTCTCTGCCGAGAACAATTGACGGTAACAATGCCATTATACCGCATCTGATCTACAATTATTGGCTCTCTGTGGGACATACAAATGTTGACCTGTAAGAAGTACGTTTTAATGTTGATCCATGAGGAGAGGAATCATATCGTGGAATCAAAAGGACTCTTGGGATTTATGCGTTTGGATGACAACATCGTCTAACTTGAAATTTGATTCGAATTGAACCAAATACGAAGAAAAGCATTAAAAAACGAGAAAAACCAAGAGAAAATTCAACAAAAATCATTGTTTTAAATAGAATACTCGAATATTGCTTATTAAAGATTTTACTCTTTTTTGTTTTTGCTAGAGAGACATAAATCAGAACAAGAACATAATGAAGATGACTTCAAATATTCTCGAACAAAAGAACTGAAAAAAAAAAAAAAAGAAACGCACATGTGATAAATAATAAAACATGTTAGTTAAGAAGACAAGACTGACATAGGAGATGGAATGAGTCGACTGAAACTGCATTTAAATTCAGGTTGGATCAAGGGAGGAAAAATAAGTTCTTTTTTTCCAAAGGTGGTCTATTTTCTTGGACTACGTCGACGTCGGGCATCTCTGTCCCTGTTTCTGTCCCTATCAGCACGTCTCATTTCTTCTAGCCTGCGCGCGTGTTCCGCCATGTGTTGCCGACGCATCTCCTCTTTAACAACTATCTGCAATTGCAAAACATTTGTTTTGCATATGTTGGTTGTTTGCTTTTTTTTTTATTGCAATAAGAATTTAATAACTGCTTGATAAAATGTCTAGATACATGAGAATGAAAGAATCGAATATTTTCCGAATTTACTTACCTGCTCATTTGTAAGTGGTAGCCAATATATGCAAGGCATAGCCTTTGTTTTTCTGAAAAGATCGTCAAGAAGTTTGGCCGGTGGCGGGTCGTCCTCCTTCTTCTTGAACTTGCGAGCTGGTGCCGACAAATGTGCGTCTAACGCCGGGCTTCGACTCCTCGCTCGTCGCTTCTTATCGTGTTCTTTCTTCTCGCGCTCCTTTTCCCTGACATGTTGCTGGCCATCCTCCTTGCCCAAGTCCCACTCTCTCACCACAGTGACCTAAAGTATGATTGAAAACAGACAGCCTTAAAAAATATCCAGTACCCTTAAAAAATCATAGATTCCTACCTTAGTAGTATTGGTTTTCTCGTCGCGACCCCAATCCTGCTGCCACGTATCTGATGAGAGTAGCTCGGTCTTGCGAGCGACCGGCTGTTCCTTTGACGATTCCCGTGCTGCTTCCAAATCCTCTTTCGTGGCGTATTCCACGTGAAGTTTTTTTGGATTGGACATAGGCCAGGAAATCCCGTGAAGCGCCTGCCTCGTTTCAAAGGCTTGATCCTCGTTGGAATACTGTAATATCGAGATAATAAAGATTGTTACTCGTTATCATCATAATTGACAATTGTAAAGTATGTTATTCCGATTGTGTTAGACTAGCATACCTGAACAATGCATTTGGACTTAATTCGATCCATCCAGAATCCGTTTTCCACAATGGTACCGGTACGTGAGAGAAGTTCCTTAATTTGATTCAGAGTGAAAGGGCGAACTAGATTCTTGATCAAAAGGATATTAGTAGGTTTAGACGCCGGCGGACTCGGCGATTTCAGGCTCGATGTCTCCTTCATGATCGATATCTTTCGTCTCGCCGCTACGGAACAGTCAGAAATATTATGTAAATTTAGGAATTATAAATTCTTCCTTAAGAAAATTTCTTATAACGAATATGTACATACGTACCGATATGATTGTCCACTTTTCCATTGCCCTTTTTAGCCGCGCTATTTTTTTGCGCATTTTCATCCGCTGTCTTATCGCTTATATTGTCACTGGAATTGTACCGCTTGTCGTTACTTCTGTGACGATCTCTGTCCTCATCGTCCTCTTTGGAAAGACGAACTTCGTTGATAGATAACGGTTTTGCGCCCGGCACTATTGCCTATAAAAATAAATAATAATAAGTTAGTTAGGTTACACACGCGCACGATGCTAAAAAAAAGTCAAAAGAGAGATGCAATAAACTTTACTTTAAGTGAATCGGTCGAAATGGAAAATGAAGGTGCGGTATCCGTGGAAAGCGCCGTCCCCCAACGACGTTTTCTTGCCACACATTTTGGTTCTTGCTCGTTGCCGTTTTCCTGCAAAGCACATCATTCGTGAATTATAATAGGAAATTATGAGATCGAATATCTGTTTGACATATTCTCCAGCAGAATTGCGTAAATTATTGTACCTTATTTTGACTGTTGAACTCATTATCGACATTTGAATCAGTGTCGTCCTTTTTCTCTTCGTTTTTTTCGGATTGTATCCTTGTCGAACTAGAAAGAAACAATTTTCAGTAAAAAACAAAGATATATATCTAATATCTTCTATACTATTCCTTTATTTAAAAAAAAAAAATATTGTATATGCAAAGATATTGTGCTTACAATGATCTCTTCAAGTTAACTTTAACGGGCTTATGAGCGACCGTCTGAGTATTCGCCGGGGCAATTTGTTCCAATTTTTCACTTGCATTCTCTTCCGGTTTATCTTGAACAATTTCGCAATGCTCAGTGTCCATCTTTTCAACGTTATTCGCTTCGGAGTTAGCGATACTACACTGCGATACCGATTGTTCCTTGTTATTTTCTTCAGAACCCCTTCTCTGTTCCTCACTTTCCTCCATTTCCTCGTTATACGTCTCCGAGACTTTTCTGTTGACAGATTCATCCTCGGAATCGGCCGTCTCAGAATTTGACGAGTCTCTGTACTTGTTTCGAGGTTTCCTACGAATCGCGCGTGGCGATGTTCGGTCGCTACTCGTTCTCTCTCTTCTCTTAGTGCGTGACTCGTCATTCGAGTCGGATGACGAGTCCGCCGGGGGTTCCGTTTTCGTTTTATCATCCTCGTCTTCTTCGCTACTCGAGTCTCTACGAGCGTTATCTACGCTAGTTTCTTTGCTAAACGTTTCCGTGGCTTTTTCACCAATATCTTCTGTAGATTTATCTTCCTGAACGGTGACTTCGGGAACGGTGACTTCGGGAACGGTGGTCTTCTCGCAAGCATAATCGCCGTTTGCGCTAGGAACCGGCGTGGCTGTCGCGCTACATGGCTTACCAGGCTCGCTGTCAGCGATTTGAGCAGTGCAATTTGTCTCATTTGATTCACCATTCGATTCACCATGCTGATCTATGTTTGGTTTATCGTCAGACAACAAGTTGGCTGAAGTGGTTTCAGGCAGGATCTCCTTGCTATCACTTACCTCTTCATTGGAGTCCTGACCTGGGTATGAAGAGGAGGGATCAATCGGCTGTTCAGGGCTACTGAGCATTCTTGTACAAGAAACCAGTTGCTCATCTGCCGAGTCAGCCTCCTCTGCAACACCCTCACCACTTTCCTGCCACTTGCCACTTGACTTGGTATTACTGTTCCTGCCCGAAGGTGCTGTATCAGATGATGCTTCAGATATGTTGCGTTGCCTGCATAGCTTCAGCTTCTGTATCTCACCAGGCGATGCATCAGCTCTAGCTACTTTCCATACTGAACCGCAGTTGTCGTCTGCAACCTCTTTCGGTGCGATCTTTTCCGTTTTACTGGAGTGCACTTTTTCCTCACTTGTCTGTGACAATTGTTCCAATTCTTTACTCTGCAGACGTGTCTGCACGCTTGTCTCATTCTCAGCTTCTTTCAGTGGAACAGCAATTTTCTCCTCAACATCCTTCTCTGGTGATGTGGATGGTGATCTTCTGTTACGTCTACGTGTTGACTTCCTCGTTGGTTTCTCAACTTTCTTTTCTGGAGAAGCCTTAGATTTGTTTCTTTCGCTCTTACGTCTCATGCCTGAGAAACAACACAACAAAATAATTGTTATAAACAAAAGGTGCAAGTCTATCTGTTGAACAATTATATCATGTCACTATCATCAATGAGTTGATATTTAAACTATATTAATCTGTAATCTATTAGATGGATCATTTGTCAATGCAGCTTTAAAAACAAAATACCGTGCCGTATCGCAACGATTTTGCATTATTTTTCACCGATCTAAAGTGTCAATATCTTATACATACATAAGTGTGTGTGTGTGTATATATATACACACATGTATATATATACACATATATACAATACACACACATCGCCTCCATTTTCATTTGCGTGCGACGCGATTTAATGCCAATTGACGAGAGCTCGGTTTTTTACATCGCGGTTGGTGTCGAGATCACAAATCTGATTCCGTCAATTTCGTACAGATTAATGTTCACTCACGTATTCGTGCATTCGCGCGGGTTACTCGGCGCCGCTGCCGAGGTCTTCCTCAATACTCGTCGATCGATCTAACGTACTAGGTTTGTGGTTATCAACGCGGAATTTGCGCGCGAGCTAAGGCTCTCGCACACGGCGGTTGACGCCAACGATTACTCACTCGACTTTACTTATGTCGCGTCCGTGGATTCTTGTTAAACCTGTGTCTTCTGTTGACAACTTGGCTGATACATAAATGCCGCACACTCTCGACGAAACCGTAACCAACCTCGTCAACGCTATTCGATAATTCGCTCTCCTCGTCTCGTCGTTCGTTTGCGCGACGGCTATATTTGCTACGATCGCTCGATCTACCATGAATCACACGCATTGTCTAAGAACATGAGCGATTCTCTCTTTATCATCAACCGGTATTGAAGGTATTTTATTTATCTTTGGTATTACCGGAGAGAAAACTGAGGCCCGAATTCATAGTCGTCTCTCAAGCCTATGTCACACTACGGATTAGGATTGAGATTGGATTGCAATTTGGCCAATCAGAGAGAAGATCACTAAACTTAGGATTGGTTTTCTTTTTTCTAATTGGTCAAATTTCAATCTAATCTCAATCCCAATCCGTAGTGTGACATAGGCTTCAGATCTCAGATCTCAGATCTCAAGAGAAAGAGAAAGAGAGAGAGAAAAAGAGAGGGAAAGAGATGAGATGAGATCTGAGATCTGAGAGACGACTATGAATTCGGGCCTCAGTCTTCTCTCTGCTCGTACACATAGTCAATGATTTTCTCGCTGGCCAATCGGCACACTCGAAACATCTGACGATCTAATAGCTGATTGGCTATCATGTGGAATCCCCATAGATTTTTCTTCTTTTTTCTTTTAAAAGTCTATATTCCGTCGAGTTTATGATCTACAAGTTCATTTTGTGCACATAGGTCCAACTGAAATTTAAATTGTTTTGATATTAACACCGTTGACAGTATAACGTAATTCGATATCAGCTGGTCAGAATTTGTTCACTTCGAGTCCGTTCCGTTTTGTTTTTTGTTTTGAAATTGTTCCGTTAGAATTGAATCGAATTGTGTTTTTGCTACTTTGTGTGTGAATACGAGAGATATATTTATTTTACTTATATTTTGTGAGTATTCTGTGAAAAATCAAAATTTTTAGGAGATATAAATCAAACAATTTCTAGACTGGAAACATAACTTTGTTTTATTTTAAATAAGTTTTATAATTCACTTTTCATCTATCTACATAGTTTTGATAAAGAATATAAATTTACCGCTTTTGTAGAATCTAGAAACAGTACTTTTGTGATGTAAAATCACATATTTCTTGTATTGTTAGTTTAGAAACACTGTATATGTATTTCTGTGTGTTTCAAAGCTTACCAGTAATGAAAATCTATAATATTAATCTATAAGTAATGTGAATTATAGATTTTCAGTGCTGGCAGTGAATTTGAAAACAACTAAAATTCATTCATTAGTTTAAATATATTATTTTTTTCTTATTAAATTAATATACGTATGTAAAATATGTTAATCTGTTTAGACAATATTTAAAATGGATCCAAATCTCAATAAAATTCATAATACATTATTGGATGCTGAATTACCATCAACTATTGAAGATCTCAAGAATCCAACAGAAGAATATATAATAAATTTGTTGACAAAATTCTTGCAATACTATTCCATAAATGTTCATGCAATTAAACAGGTAAAACTTTTATAAAAAGAATAATTTATATTGTATATACATATGAATTATAAATAATTTATAACAATGAGACAGTAAGTCTTTTACATCTAATTTATAACTTTTAAATAGTAAATTATAAACTATTTTGCTACTTAGGAAGCAAATAATATTAATTGATTTATTGTTTCTGTTAATGTTGCAGCCGTTTCTAGAACAATGTGCTGTTATGCCGTATTATGAAGATTCTGATGTGATAACTCTGATAAATTTCCATGCTGTTGTTTCACAAATTCTTAAAAAGATATTTTTGAGTGACTTTAGTATTACTGATATTACTAGTCCAGGTACAAGAAACAATTTACAGCGTTTTAAGGGTATTATGTACATGTAATTTATATTATTTTGTGTGAATAATGTATTAAATACACTTGTACAATTTGTAGGACCAAAACGACTTAGAAAGCAAGTGAAATATCTCTCTAACTTTGTACTATATACAATGCACAAGAAATTAGCATTTAGTAAGAGAATGGAAGAAATTCAAGTTCAAGCTAAGACATTTGAAGAACTAAAAGAAAAAAGTGCTCACATTTTAGAGTCTGTCAATAAAGTAGCTACACACAAAGCAAAACAACTGACTTTAATAGAGAAGGTAGTTTTATATTCGCATCTTTAATGTTTTAATTTATATAATCTCTTAAACTTATGTATATCTATTTTCACATCTTCACACACATGCATACTGTTGTGCTTTAGCTTAAGAATGATATTCAGCGAAAAAAAGAAGATATTATGAGACTCGAAAAGAAGGATGTAGAACTCACTGAGAAAAAATATACATTAGAAAGAGAAAATCAGAATGCTAAAGGACGTCATGATCATGTTAAAACTACAATGGGAAAGGTAAAATAAACATTGTTAGAGTAAAATCTTAATCTCTTATTGAAATATGACGTTATATACATAAATAAACTTATATGTGAATTTTACATGTAATTTTCAGATAACGAAGGAGTTAATTGAGTTACAATCACAGATTGTAGATTCGCCAAAAGCGTATCAGTCTCGTTTAGATGAACTTCAGGAGGCAAAAAAGAAAAAGTTAGAAGAACGCGATGAGATACAGGAAGCCATTCAGGATAAAAAAGAGAACATGAAACAAATAAATGAGAAATTAACTGTTGTTCAGAAAATAAACGATGAATTTTCTGCGTTGAAAGATACATATAAGGATTTAAAGTAATTTATTTACGTCTGTTATAGTTTGTTACGCACATTTTGGAAAATTATCAATGCAACATGTATTTTGTGTTGTATAGAGATAAGAAGGCGAAAGCAGATGATGGCAAAAAGCAAATCAATTCGTTGAATGATACAATAGAGAAAATGCAAATGAAATTAGTAATACACAAGGATCAAATAGATGCCGAGAAGAACGAAGTGAAATCGCATCGTGAGGAAGATGTCGCACCATTGTGTAACTTATTTAGCGAATTAATTATGTAAGTTGCATAAAACTCACAACTGACTTTAATTTTTTTTACACATTTAACATTTACATGCGCGATTTATTATTTTCTATATGAAACACTGTAATAATAATGTTGCTTACTTATAAATTAGTGAAAAAAAAGAAAAAAAAGCTAATTTAGAAGCAATACAAACTTGCTTCAATGAAAAATGTTCGGAAAGAAATAAGTTAAAAACCGAAATTAGAAAAAAGGAAGACGAAACTGCAGCTTTTATACAATCGTGCCAAAACCTCTACGATCAAGAACTTGCTAGAGTAAGTTACATAATTATTTATTTACAATTTGAAATATATTATTATATAACATATGTGTATATATATAAGTTATTTTTAAATTATTTTTATTATTTTTAAATCATTTTTTTTCAATAATAAAAATAAAAATATTATATATGTTACAATGTATTGTTTCTATTTTAGGAACGTGAGATACAGACACATTGGACAGGAGAGTGATGTATCAAGTATTTCTAAAAGAAAAGATCTTTAAGAATATGACGTTATAAGAATTATATAAAACAGATTTGTTTTTAAGTATATTTTTAATGATTACATTTTACATAATTATTTTTATTCAATTCTTAAGTGCTATTTTTTATGGTAATAAAATGTTTATAATAATAGCATTCTTAGAAGAAGCTATTATTTATACTCGGAGCGAGCTCGAAACGTGTCTTTTCGTTTTTTCCTTGTAATAGTTTAGAGCGTGTATATTAATAAAAAAGCATGTACTAAGCATGTATTAATTTGACTGAACTAATTACATAGTACTGGTATAAGTATTTATATGATGCATACGTTGTAAAGTTTAAGTAGTGTCACATGAAGTTGCGCTAATGTTGGACAATTCGCGTTTAACCAGACTCGACTTGGTGCGACTTCACATGTGTAAAGGCATTATTACAGAAACGTTTAAAAAAAGCTCACTCGTCGTTGAGTGGGGCCGAGTTATGACGCAACTAATTATGAAGAGTCAAATCTCTATCGAAAAATCTCTATCTTCATTAACAGGATTGCGAAGAATCTGCAATTGATAAAATTGCAAATTCAATTTCTTGTTTATAAACCTTGTAAAACATCGGCAATGTGGATTCTTTGTGTAAGAACGATTTTTTGTATGATTCATATGTAGGTAAACAATAAATCATAACTTCCAAATAATTTCTTTTTAAATGTAAAATCTTGCGATTGTTTTTTTTGTATTATAGGTGGTAATTGCACTCTGTCAAATTATAATTTTGTTGATGTTGTCCGGAATTCTCTTTTCCGTTGCTGCTGTTTCACGTTTGATGGAAATAACGATTCTCTTGGTACATCCCACTGCTTTATTCTTATTGCGACAATCCACAAATTTGATCATTGTGAGTATATAGTTAAATGTTTCAATTTTGTTTAGTAGAACAAATGTTTTTCTTACAATCTTTATTTGCTTTTAATTTAAACATTTTCAAACATGTACAAGAAGATTTTGTATTAGTATTAAAAGTTTATATTATCTTGTATATTAAATAACTATTTAACCAGTAACCAAGACCAGGGCTAAATAGCCTCGTGGTCAGTTAATTTTGAACACCTGGTCGTGTGTAGGTTTTAACAATCCTGATGGCAGAAATGACATCCTCGGTGTTCCACAAACTGTGTACACATGTAAAGAGTGACGAAGCAAAGTGTGATAAAGCAAATCTACGGCAAACATTGTCTGTAAATATGCAAACTCCTTTCATTCCGTATAAGAGATGCGTTCTCGAAGAATTACCTGAAGAGATTCGACCTTTAAAAATCGAATCTCCTGCTTCATCGTCAGCATATAAAGGAATTATTGAACCTTTCAAGGATCAGTCGGAAGACAATAGTTCGACGAAAGTATCAACTACGAACTAAGATATCTACTATGGATTATATATCAGAAAAAACGTATTTATACAAAAAATATTTATTTACACAACTTTATATACATGTGTATATTGTAAATTATATTGTATGACAATTTATAAGAGAAAATTAAATTTGTATGTATTTACAAAGAGATAAAAAGTGATTCGCACTCATTATAATTGTAATGGATATACACTGCAGAAAAAAAAAAACTATAAAGTTAAGTAAGCGAAGTAATCGGTTTATTGTTATATCGCAAATCGATAGCAAATGATCATGAAATTGTCTCGTCCAACAAAATTATTTTCTGTTCGTGTACATGCACGAGTCACAAGAAATTTATTAAAATGTCGTAATTTACTTTTAAAAGTTTATATCGAATGATCTTTTACTCAAACTGATAAATTAAAATTTTTATATTGTTACTCTTGCCGGACAGTTTGCATCAAACAAGAAATGGATGTAAGTTCTTTTTGATACTTTATTTCTTAACTTTTATATTGATTATACAATTTTATGTTGATAAAAGTATTTTTCACAACAGCTGAAAACCGCCCTCACCGATTTGAGCGACAAATTTCCTTTCTTACGACATATTCTCCGTCCAGAATACGTTCCGTATTTGATCACAATTGCAGCAGTGTTTATAGGATGGTTGCTTATGTTTTGGATACTTCATGTACGTATTGCCAATTTATTTAACGTACTACTTTGTCATTAATTCTGATTACTTGCAGTTAATTTGGATGTTGCTTACTCCTGTGGCAATAAGTATGATTGCTGTAGCGCTAATATATCCGGCAACAAGTAAATGGTACTTTCAACAACTGGGAATCAACTTGGAAGAAGTAGCAAATGATTTCGTTAAGTGGTTTCAAACACTTCAATAGTGATATATTTAATCAAGAACATTAATACACAATGTGGATATAAGAAGATTTGAAATTGTAGAGTGTATATATACACACACACACACAATTATATCACTAAACTAAATAAATCTTAAATTAAAAAGTTTACATAATTATCATAAGTGACACTTCATCATATGTGATATACACATCATATGTGAATTGTAGAGTGTACACACACACACACACACACACACACACACACACACACACACACACACACACACACACACACACACACACACACA